TGTCATTTTAATTCCTTTTGGCCTAGTGCTTTTTATCATTTCAACTCATAATATCTGTGTCAAAACTTCAGAGTCACAGAAAATAGAAAAGAATGTATATCAGCTCATTGGTTATGATAAAAGTATTATACTAGTGTAAAATATTAGAAGAAACTGGATATTGAATGAGTGGAACTCTACTATCTTCACAATTTTTCTGTAATTCTGAAACTTCTCTTAAATAAAAATGTGATTAAATAAAAAAAAGAAAAGAATGTATATCTACATTTTAAACAATGCATTATTGGCAGAAGTATTATAATTTTTACAACTATTTGATGTTTCTGTTGTAAAGTAAAACGTGTTGATTTTGTAATTTAAATGGAAAGCTTGGTGGATTTTTTGGGTACTACCATCCATAAGAATGCAACTTTCTGCTTAAAAAGAGATGGAAAATAAAAGATGGTTTTAAAAATTATATTTCATGGTTGAGTGCTGTTAGTGTGTGCCTATAACCCCAGGACTCTGGGAGACTGAAACAAGAAGATCATATGTTTGAGCCTTGCCACAAGATTTTGATCAACTGGGGGTCACCACTAAGTGACACCCAATCTCTAAATGACCAAATGAGGCCAGGAATTTAGTTGGGTGCGCAGGCCCTGAGTCCAATCCTCAGGTCCCCAAAGTGAACAGGCTCTGCTAGGAATGAGAAGGCCTGGGGTTTGGTCCAGGTGCTGCCTCCTAGCAGTGAGCCTGCAGCCAGTTACACACCTCAGTTCCTTGTCTTTCTGCTGAGCCTGTTTCCCAGGGATGCTACGCAAAGCGAATGGAATGAAGGGATCAAGCCTGCTTCAAGGGCCTCCCACTGACTGCGGTGTGCTGTGCGCCAGGACTGCCCCCGTCACAGCCCAAGGACTGAGGACCTGGGCCTCGCCCTTCCCATTTACAGAGGAGGCAAGCAGCAATCACAGGCTTAACAGCACTAGGTCAGACTGCCAGCGAGTGACAGAGATAGTACTTAAATCCAAGATGCCAGTGTCCACAGGCTATTTCTTCTGTAGCTGTTCACAGATAGGTGAAGTTTTTTAATCACTGACATTTTGTGCAAGCTTTATAAAACTTTACGGGGGGAGGTGAGATTGCTGCTTAGGCAAGCTTAGACAAGCACAGGGACTGAGGTTCAATCCCCAGCACCACATGCTGTGCCAGCCCTGTCCCCAGGGTGGGCTGAGCCAGCCACAGAGTCTGGGTGTAGTGGTGCATGCCTGCAATCCCAGGGCTGGGGAGGTTGAAAGCAGGAGGTTCACCACAAGTCCGAGTTATGTAGTGAGACTCTGCAACAACCAAATACATTTTTTAAAAAATAAAAAAAGAACGTTATAGGGTCTATTATGTTTTATCAGTCTACATTCTGAAGTGTGAAACATAACCAAATAAGAAAGCTCACATCTTGATGATAAAAACATGTATTTTTCTCTTGAATGTTCGAAATTACTACAATCAATTAATTTGGCCAAGGGCTTCTATATTAAATTGTATTTAGAATACACACTGAATTTTACTCAACTTCTTTATGATTTTAGAAGCATTATCAAAAGTATCATCTTGACATTTACATGATAAAAAAATTTTTCTTCAAATACTAATTGGCAACCAGCTTTAACTACTCTGTCAAGAATTTTAGAAAGTGCTGTGCTCATGTAAAACATTTGCTGATGGCAAATGGTGTGATTCTTCAGTAAGCGCATCGACAATATTATTTTTGAAGCACAGAAAATGCTGAAATAGCAAACTTATAAAACAACTGCATAAAAATAAGCTCAGTACATCAACATGTTATCACTTTGTTGCTCAAAAATCTAAGCAAGCTATGAGAAAAACACTGGGGTAGACTGACAGTGAAAGTTCTGGAAACTAGAACAACATTTCAGCTACTGAAGAGATGCGCCAGGGACACGGGGACTTGGCTGGCAGCTTTTAGGACTGCTCTCAGATCCATGGTAGCCTCTGTGCTTGCCTCGTCTTGCTATTTTTGTTGGCTAACTTAGTTCAAATTAAGACTAAGGGACAAGTGAGTGTCCTTCTGGGAGCTCCTGCCATAGTTCTTGGCTCCCGACTTGCAGAGAGCCCCAGCTGAGAATGGTACAAAAGCACAGGCAACGATGCAGGGGACAACAGAAATGTCATAAAGAAAGGGGGAAAATGTGAGGCAGGTACAGAAGACAGAAGGCAAAACCTCTCTTCTCCATCAGATGGAAATCGGGACAAAGCAAGAGCAATGTGCTCTGAGAGCTGGCTCCAAGAGAGAAATTAAGTTAGGTTGTCACAGGTCATTTTTATGCCAGCCAATCACATTACTATAGTAAAGGGGCTTATTACCACTAGGATAGCTTTCGGATGTTCGTTATAAATACCGCTGTGCTTTCCTGAGATATATTACACATTAAACCTGGGAAATACACCAAGTATGTATTTTGCTTTTGATACAAAACCAAAATAATAATACATACTTTTTTCCTCAGTGGTGGATGATGAATCTTACAGTCAAATATACTTCCTGTTTCTTCATTTAGAGCCCTTAGAAATGACACATGGTTCAGGAATGCAGGACACAGTGCCAGTTCTAAGGCCACCTTTGGGCTAAGTCATGACACAGGCAGGCATGCTGACGGGCTAGAAGCACTAGCTCCTGGAGATCCGCCTTATTAGCCTTGGCAGGGTGCTAATAAATCTCCACTGCAGGTCGCCTGCCCAGGCCTGCCTCCTTACCTTTCATGTGGGGGAGGAAGTGGTGTCTGAAGGGGGGGTTGGGGCGGGAGTCGCCGTGGGCGGAGCTGAGGCTGCTGGTGAGCAGGTGGGACCACCTCTGCCCACCGGGGGACAAGAGCTCTGGGCGGCAAGACGGGGCAGGGCGGGGAAACAGAAAAGAGCAGAAATTAACACAGGAGCAAGGAGGAAAATGGTTCCACAGGAGGAAAACAAAGAGCATTAGTCAGGAATCTGAAAAAGGAGGAAGGAAAAGGGTTACAGATGCACCTGCAGAGGAGGCGGCCAAGTGGGGAGAGTCTGTAGCTGGACCTGGGGACACAGAGCCACTCGAGAATGAATGGCCATAGCGAGGAGGCATGGTCCTCAGCGCATGCTCTGGGAGGAGGACACCCCGCGTAGACGCAACAGAAGCTATTTTTTAGAAAAGCAGCTAACAAACAGAACCCACTGACATGCAAGTGAAAACTGACAACCATTTCAAGAAGCTTGAAAAGGAGTGCCTATATCTGAAAGGTCAGATTTTGGGGTGTTTTTGTTACGTTTGTTTTTCTTACTGGGGATTGAACTTAGGACCTTGCGCTTGCCAGGCAGGTACTTGTGCCACTGAGCTATATCCCTGGCTCAGGGTATGCCTTTTTTTTTTTTTTTTTTTTTTTAAACTGCACACCGATCCCTTTGAAAATCATTGTATTTTAGCTTCATAGAAGAAAAACCTTTTTGTATTCCTCAGGGGACAAAGCTGAGTCCCGACAGCTGCACGTGGAAATAAATGCTGGGGATGGAAAACACAGCATCTTAGAGCGAAGGATGGACTCAGACCTAGACGATGGAAACCACCATCTGGCACCCAGAATTTAAGGGCAACACTTTGGGGTGCTGCACCAGGATCGCAAGGAGGCCATGGGTTCTGCTTTGGAAGGGTAGGCCGCAAAAGTCCTGTAAAACCTGATACCTGGTGGCGGAATCTGTAAGATGAATGAGAAAGGACATGCTCTGAGAAGTGCCCTGGCCTCCGGACCACGATGGGAGGGGAGGAGCGCTTCCTACAGCTCACCAAGCACAAGCGCTTTCAGAAGCCAGCCACGCCCACTCTGTTCTGGGGTCTGGAGCCCACGCTGCTCTCAGGGCTGGGGTCTTAGTGACACACAGGCATCGGCGATGTAAGCATTTCTGTCACCTAACAGGTGGTGTCTTAAACTGAGCCCCATATCAGGGCATGAATAAAAAGAGTATAGGTGTGCATTAAAAAGGAGAATCCTAAGAACTTTCATTTAATGTAATCTCGTAGATACTAATGAATATATATACGTACACCTGGAGCAAGCGATACATTACCAAAGGATACAATATTTTCAATCTTTCCTGTTAAATCTTTAAGGAGAACACTGTAGCTTTTTTTAATACGGTTAATTTCTCCTGTTTTATTTCTTGTGCGTTTTGTTAAAAAGGTAACACTGAGTGAATTTGTTCTCATCAAGCTGGCCAGAAGCAAGCAGCTTAAAACGAAGTCTTCTGAGATGTGTCTCATTACCAAGTTTGTTTAGAGGCTAAATCTTCTTTGTGACTGTTGCGGCAGAAACCCCGGCTCTGTACGGGGATCTTCACTCGCTGGTCACACGCACGCACGCACGCACGCACGCACGCACACGACCCCGCTAAGGGCCACCAGGGTGAAATCCTCTGCAGGTAAGATCAGCTAAGGTCTCCTAACTCCTAACTCAGCACAGCCTTGAGGTTTTTATGTTTTCAAAGTCTGGTTCAACATCCTGGGGCTGGAAGTTATCTCAGAAGTGACCTCATCCAATCCTGAGTCCTCCTTTTAGCAGCTTCTTAACTGAGCATGCTCAGTGTCTGGATAAGGGTATTCTAAGTTGGTCAACAAGTGGCTAAGATTGGATTTTAGATGATACTGATTTGCCTAAAAGGACATACAATTTTTTCTTTCGGCAATTTTCATTTTTAAGTCCTAAAGTGATGAGATGTTCACTAAGGGGGAGGGGGGATCTACTTTGCTTCCAGAACTTCACTCTGAATGGAATTTACTAAATCGAAATGAAAATAGCCACAATAGGACTGATATTTTAGGAAAAGCCATAATACAAATGCAATTGGACAGTCATTTTCATTTTGTTCTGGGAGTGGGGTCGAAATATCAGCCCTCAGATTTTTCAATAAGCTATCAATGGGGGGGGGCAGTCCCACCGAGATGTAGCTCATCGTGTGGGCGGAAGCCCAGGAGCAGCGGCCCTTACCAGGTCTGTGGAAATGCTGGGGCGAGCGTGACGTGGTCGGAGTGTAACTGTGGCGGCTGTACACGGGGGAGTTGATGGAGCCCTGGCTGGTGGACCTGTGGATCACCCGGTCCCGAACATCCTGGTAGCCCTGCAGGCAGAAGTATGGAAGGCCGCGAAGACAGAACGCATCAGACCTGCAGCATTGCCCAGTGACTCCTGATCCACAAACACCACTAGAAGCCATCATGTCTACCTGCCTGCTTGTACTGGGAAGGGAGGTGTTTCATAAAGAAGTACACTTCCGGCACTTGATGGCTAATACATTCTGGTTCCAGTCCTTGGAACTAAAATTTTAAGATGTACATTTATAAATCCCAATCCTCACAGAGCTGTAGGAAAAGAGATCACCCCAATGAGCACATTTACAGTGTGCTTTGCAGCTTTGCTAAGTAGGCCAGGCCCTACTGATGACAGACTGATGGAGAAACAGGCTCCATGCTGGCTGGAGAACCATGTCAGTTGCCTGGCCCGAACAGGTGGGGCTCCCTTCGCAACTGGCATCCCCACAAGACCCTGCCCATGTGTCTGACCATCAACCCACGGAGTCCACAATACTCATCCGGTGACACTGTCCTTGTGTTTTTTTTTTTTTTTTTGTGGAACTGGGAATTGAACTCAGGCCCTTGTGCTTGCCAGGGAAGCACTTATTCTACTGAGCCATCTCCCCAGCCCGACATTGTTGTTTGATGCTCCCAGCGAACAAGTTGGTGGTAGATTTATGGCCAGAAATTCTACTTCTTACCTTGGGAAACACAGGCCAAGAAAATCGTTTAAAATGATCCTTAAAGAGAATCATTTATTCAAAGACTTTTATAGGGCTGAGGAGATAAACCAGCGGCATAAGCGCCTGCCTGGATAGCACCAGGTGCTGAGTTTGATACCTAGTACCAAAACAAAAGAAACCCCATCAAAAATAAGAAAAAAAAAAAGGGTACTACATTCAACAAACTAGACAATAATTATGACACATCATAATTTGATGGAATTTAATGGTCGCACTAAAATATTGCTTATATCTAGCCCAGAAAAGAAGGTATTAGGTAGTAGGGAGAAAAAAGCCAACAATATAAAACCATAAAAATCAAAAGAACAGGGCCAGGGAGATGGCTTAGTGGAATAATCACTTCCTGGCAAGCGCAAGGGCCTGAGTTCAATCCCCGGTTCCGCAAAAGAAAAAAAAAAAAAACCACAAAGAGAAGTGGGGTGGGGAGATAGCTCAGTAGAATAAGTGCCTGTGTGGCAAGCACAGGGTCCTGAATTCAATCCCTGATACTGGAAAAAAAAAAAAAGAACATGAAAAACATTTTTTATTTTAGGAATCTGTTCTCCTATGAAGTTTCTACTAACAAAAGATTTTGAAAGACTGCACAAATAATGACTAAATTAAAACCTCATTGGGCCGGGGACATAGTCCAGTGGCACAGTGCCTTCCTAGAAAATTCAAGGTTCTGAATTTGATTTCATATGTGTGTGTGTGTGTGTGTGTGTGTATATATATATATACACACACACACATATATATAGTTAAAAATAAAAATAAAATAAAGCCTCATTAACCATAGCTTTGTGAAATCTGAAAAAAAAGGGGCAAATGAACTTTAGTTTTAACCTTAATTGGCTTAATAAATCAAATGATAACAAAACAGTCTCTAAACAACATGCTTCATCCAATTAAAAAAAGTTATTTCCAACTTCAGCTGTAAATGATTAGCGTGGTCATAGAAATTATTCATAGCCTTCAGCCCTCATACACTCTGAAAACTGTGGTTTGTTTTTTTTCCTCTTTCAAATTACACAGCTTCCCCAGATTAGCCTTGTTTCATAACAGAGTTCCTAGAAAGCTGCTTGCCGTAAGGTCAGACCACTAATTTACACCATCCTGAGTAAATGTCTGTGAGAAAAGTCCTGAGCCAGGCATGGTGGGCATGCTTCTGATCTTAGTGCTCTGGTTGGCTGAAGCAGAAGGGTTGCAAGTTTGAGCTCTGCAGAGACAATTTAGCTATTCAGTGATACTTTGTCTCAAAAAAAAAAAAAAGCCAGGGATGTGGCCCAGAGTGGAGGTCTGGATTTGAATACCAGTAGTCTGGGATTCAATATTCAGTACAAAAAAAAGTTCTTACAGATTGCATTAGGATCACTGTTGACTCAGATATGCTAGTCTGTTAGGGCTCAGATCAGATGAGATTGGGTACGTAGAGGGTGGTATGGCGCAGACAGGGCTCAGGTCAGTTAAGCATAGCCCAGGGCAGAGAGACCACACTAGGCAGTGGCTTCAGGCCCTGCCAACATTCTGCCCACCACTTAGGAAGCACAGGCTCAGATCACTAGGAGACCACTTCTACAGAAGGGAATGTACTGCTGTGTGGTCCTGTCTTACAAATGTAACCCCCCGCATAGCTTCCTTGCTTTGTGTTATGTCCTGTTTCAAAAATTCCAATCGAGACAAGGTCTGAGGGACTCCCCAGTTCCACTAATTAGATGGTACTCACTTCTGCTGATGGAGTAGGAGACAAAGTCCTTGGAGACTGGAACAAAAGAGAGAATGCAAAGTCACGGCTTGTGCACTCTTCGCTGGTGTTAATTAGAGCTGATCATCAGAATAGGCTGGAAACTTCATCCTGCATATGCACACTGGCACCCCCGCTGGGCCCTGGCCTGAGCATTAGCGTGGGGTGGGCTGAGACCACATAATGACACAGTTCCTAGAGATCCCGGTGACGTCTGCCTAAAAACTCTAATTTTAGTGAATAAAACTATTAATAATATTGTTAACTTTTGATAAATATATTGATGACTTAGGTGACCATTCCAGATAAATTTGAACTACTTTCCCTGATATAATCAGACCCTGCTCAGTTTGCTGCTGTGAGTTTCAGCATCTAGAAAGATGTAGGATTCTGTACACATAGTTTTTAAGCTATACGCACGCTGTTCACTGTAATAGTGTATGTGGCATGTGCAACTGTGTACACCCAGGTCCCTCCTGGGTGCCACGAACCTCACCTTCTGTGTCTCTAAAATGGCAACAGATAGATTCTATAAAAGAGGTTATAATAACTAATAGAATTAATACAGTAATAGAACAGTTTGCAATGTTTACTTTTTTGTGCAGGGTCTCACTATGCAGCTCGGACTCCTAGTGATCCTGTTTTCAGCCTCCCTAGTGCTGGGATTACAGGCATGCGAGCGGCACCACACCAGGATGCAATGTTTACTTTGTTGCAAGGTCCACAGGCTGGGGACTGAGTTCACCAATGCATCTGATTCCTGATCCACAGGGACATTCTTTATGCATCAAGAAAACCACAGGTCATTTTCTCAGATTCTGCCTGAAATGGTGTTGATTACGAGACCAGCAAGCGCTCCTGAGCATTTTGTTATTGTGTGTTCTAATCTGAAGACCTCACACAGCCCTCATAGAAAACCTGTGGAGGGAGTGTTAGTGTTTTCTACCGTGAGTTCACAGATGGGGTTCACCTATATAATTTCCTCAACGCTTAGTCTGCGTAGAGATGCTGAAAATTTCAATTCAAAGCCCTAATTCTTGAGTGATGTTTTCCTACCCTAAATGGAACCACTGGAAGACATGCACAGTGCAAACGTCCAGAACAACAGAAACAAAACTCAGCTCCTCCTTGGCTATGCGACTTGCCCTTGACCCTTTGTTATTCTCCTTTACAGAATTGCCAACTCATCCAATCAACCTGCCTTGAGAGCTGCTGGATATGCAGTACAGCACAGCTGCCACCAGGTGGCACTCCATGAAAATGGATCTCACCTCCCATCCCAGCACTAAACTGGGAGGAAAAGGCAGATTACAAAATAAACAAAAAAAGGAATACTATATAAATATTTAAGTAAACATACTCATAAACAGATTGATATTATATGCATATAGCAGAGAGCAAATAAGTAGATTCTCCACATTCTCATGGTTTTTCTGCACCACATTAGGCCCGAGAAGCACTTTGATGCTGGAGGCTGCTAACATTTGGGTTTCACCTTGGCTGGCCTGCCCTGTAGAGTCCCCTACTGTATAACTCACACTTCTCTGAATGGAATTGAATGGTCTGTAGATGAGGCCAAGTTCAGAATGAAAGAGGGGGCTGGGCTATGTAGGAGGGCCTGGACCTGGCCTGCTTGAGGCTCTGAGCTCAACCCCTAGATAAAACTGAAAGAGGAAAAAATCAGAGTGAGCTTGATAGATGGGGGAAAAAACAGAGCCCAATAAACCTGGGTAGGAGGTTAACAGCTGGGGATCCACAGCCTTGGAATGGGCAGAGAAGGGAGCCCGGGCCAGAAAAGCTCTCAAGCTGCAGTGGAGGAGTACATGGGCTGAGATGAGAGCCCTGAGGGGACGGGTGGCAACTGTGGTGGCTGCCATCTGCTAAGCATTCATTTGCACATGTGGCGATCCCTGGGTTGAGCCATAATTTGATTTCATAACCCCTGCTCAAGCCACTGAGCTATGCCATTGGCCCATTCTCTCTACCTTTCTTGAACACTCTAAGCTGCTTAACACTACAGCTATCACTATTTATGGGCATGTTCTTTCTCACCATCATCTATCTGCATGAATATACTTTCAACTTAGGTCAAGGCCATGGCCCAGAAGACCCTGCTTCCCCTGTCAACGGCGGCATTCGTCCCGGGCTCAGTTATCATACACCCCACTGATCCTTCACCTTTATTTTATGTACAATCAGTTGGCTCGACCACCTTTCTGACCCCCCTTAGGGCTGCAGTCATGTGATGGGTTTCTGAATACTGAATACTTGAACCAGATCTAGAAACCTGCAAACAGTAGGCAACAGAAAGGCAGACTTAATGCTGTCATAGTTCCTATGCACAGGACTAAAGAGAAAGTGGGCCGTCCTACACCCCACCCACCAGAGATGCAGTACCTCTCCAAGGCTCTGTCGCTCCTGTTTGTCTTCATAGCCCGAAGTGTAGAAAGGCTCATAGGTAATGAGGTCTGGGCGCTCGATATCATAGATGGCCTTGACTTTGGGAATGGCTGCTAGGTCCTTATAGTCCAGGATTTCATTGTCTACTTTTGCCTGGTGATGTTAAATGGAGAGAAAAGTTACTCCACCTTTTACTTCTTTGAGAGACTACGCAAGTGCTTGGAACGTCTTGTTTAAAATGTGGAGACCTTTACAACAAACCAAAACGCCACACTTAGCATGGGCATACTCTTTAGAAAACTGCCAATTTACATCACCTATCAATTAGTTTTTAAAATGATCCAAAGCATAAGAAAAAGGATGTGTAGCAGAACAGATGCTTAATTTATTTTGTTTTTTTTCAATTGTTTCTCCTCTTAATTTCTTATGTATTTCTTTCTTTCTCTTCTTCCAATTTTGCACGCATGTACCTTATCTGGTAATATGAACTGGTTGGAGACAACCCTGCATTGCAACAAATATTGTGAAATTCATATTACTTTGTTAAGTGAAATTGTTTTTCTTGTAATTTTTCTGTTTTAATTCTATTTTGTATTCTCTTTATAAAATAAAAAGTATGTGTATAGCTCATTAACTAGAGAAATGTATACACCTTAAAAATACTTTCATACATTATAGTGAAGAAAAAACCCCACGCAAGCAGGTAGTAAAAAATTCTCTCAGATGGCTAAAAACAAGAATGGCACATTTAATGAATTAAGTATTTAAATATCTTTGTATCAGAATTTAAGAGTATTTATTAGTACCCTCATAAATGTATAATGAGGGAGGCTGGGGAGATAGCTCAGTAGAATAAGTGCTTGCCTGGCAAGCACAAGGGCCTGAGTTCAATCCCTGGTTCTGCCAATAAGTAAATAAATAAAATAAAAATAAATGTATAATGAATCCCCAGGTCTTTATGTGCAATTAGGTACAATAATTTCAATCCTGCTTCATTGGACTGTATTTTGAGGTCCTCTTTTGATGAGGTGACCATATATAAACTAAATTACCTGAAAGAAGATATGACTAAGACAACTCATAGACAAAAATGAACACTAGACTCCATGAGAATTAGAAACCCTTTGGAGTTCGCTTCTACGATCCGTCCAGTTACTTCAATTCTCCGACCTACGTGCCCTAGACTCTCTCTTCAGAAGCTGGTACTTACATAGATAGTGTGGCCTGGGGAGCCAGGGATGCTGGATCCGGGTCTAGAATAAATACTTTCAGAGGAGGTCCTGGTAGGCTGTGAAATAAACAGTGACTTGTAAGTGTCCAGAGGAAGGCTTCAGAATCAAAAGCCACCAGGGTCCACAAGCTTTACTAAAAACTAGGCTAGTTAAAAAGAAGAAATCTGTGTTCTGTATCACATGAAAAAAAAAAAAAATACAACCAGAAGGCCATGAGAGCCTGTTACAGGATTGGGCTCTGAATGTGTATTTGGGGTCCTTTGGAAGTGAGTCTCCATCCTCCCATCCCCTACGCATGGCTCCCAGCTACCATTCCTCCCATTTCTGCTGCCCCAACCCCAGAATCTGTCAGCGGTGGCCTCCGTGGGCTTCTGGCTCTCATGACATTGCCTTCTCCAGCTCCCCCAGCACCCAGCAGGTCTCTAAGAGAGTTCTTGACAGAACAACTCGGACTGGCAATATCCTGCCTATGGCTTCAGCATCCATTTAGGAGAATAAATCCCAGGCCTGGGAAGCATGTCCCTGCTTTTGCCCTCCTCATCGCCCGTCCATTTGCAGATCAACAGGCACAGCGCCCCTGCCTCCGGGGTCTCTTCCTGGCCTCTCTCTGCCTCAGATGCTTCCCCTTCAACTGTTCTGCCTTCCTCAATCCTGGCTTAAGTGTCACCTTCACAGGAAGCCCACCATGAACTTCAACCCAGTTAGTGTTCTTGTTTTACCTCACAGCATCATTGTTTTGTTTTCTTTTGTTTTTTCCCTTCATGAACAGGAGCTCGCAACAACATATTCCCTGCCTTTCTTGTAGCTTGTCTGTCCCCTTCCTAAATGCTGGTCCTGATCTCTGCCCTCAGGGTGGTGCTCACTGCTGCCTGTATCTACACATCGCAGAGTGGATAAGCTAGAGCTCATTTGTACTCAGCTGATGCTGTGAGCTTGGCCACAGTCACGGAGGGAAGGCTGGTGGGCAGCCCCCGGCAAGATGGAAAGAACTGAACTTCATGATAATGCATGCTTGGAAAACCATGAGAGTGAGTGCTGGCATCAGGAGAGGGATGGGAGAGAAAGGTACAAGCTAGGACCACCTGCCTCCCAGCTCTGCTTGGCATATTCTGGAAAGCTCTGCAGAGAAAGCCCATGGCCTCATGTCTGTACTGCCGCTTCCTCAAGAGGTCAATTTGTAGTACTACAATTGGAATAAGGCTGTTTCCTCGTTAGTACAATTTTTCCCCAAGATATGACTCCTTGAATGTGAATATAACTGGGTCAAAAGAACTCCTAGAGACCTGGAATGCTACACCATTGAGTAGCTCACATCTGAAAGCAATGAACACACCATCTGGGCAGTGTAAGGCAGGCTGTGGTTAGATTCGCTTTCAAAGCAAGCACTCCCTGGAAGACTGCGATTGGTCATTCCTGGCCGTGTCAGGCATCTCAGGGATACCTGGGTGGATGGTTGTGGAAGACATATGCTCAGGTATTGTGGCATCTGGGCACTGCCTTGGGGCTTCCGCCCTGGGACGTCTTCCTCCAAGTATAACTGGAATAACTATTTCCCAGTGACAAGCTCATCTCAATATGAAAAATTTTGAGTACGTTGGAAAAAGATTCACATAACACTATTCAAATGAAGCCCAATGTCAACTTCCTAACCAAAATACAACCTTCCTTTAAAAAGAGATGCCAGGGCTGGCCAAATAGCTCAGCAGATTAAAGCTCCTGCAAGCAGGCACAGGCGCCGGGGATTCAAGTGCGCTGAGATGGCAACTGAGACTGGGCGTGGTGGCGCGCACCTGTAATCCCAGCACTTGGGAGGCTGTGAACAGGTAATCACTACGAGTCCGATCTAGTAGTGAGACCCTGAACACCCTGTAGACTGTTCCCTAAAAATATAAAAGGAGATGCCACTCCCTGTGAAAGCTGAACTGGTATCCACCCATGTCTGTGGGACAATCATTAAATACAGATAGTCCTTCAGTTCTAAGTGGCCAGAATCTAATATTGCCCACCATGATCCAAAGTGAAACTGCTGCAGCATCTACCCAGGGCCATCGCCAGCAGCTAGGGCTCACTCAGGGTGCGGTAGGCCATGACCAAGGCTCGCTTGCAATTAATCTGCTCAATAAGCAGCCCTATGACATAGAGATTAGCCTGCTTTACAGAAGAGGAAGCTTGAGTGCTGTGAGCTACACAGCTACAAATGGGGTGCATCAGGGTTTGAAACCAGACACCCGAGGTCCAGAGGCGTGCACTGCGCCCCACATTCCATCCTAAGGTAGGTGCATTCATTTGTTCCCAGCAACACAGCTCCTGGGCCAAGGGGGTAAAAGCAACGGAGAGGTTGAGATCGGTGACTGAAAGGAGGGTGTGATCACCCCAAGTGTTTTTATTGTGCTAGTTCTACAAGGACACTGCATTAGCTCACAGGGCAGGTGGGGGAAGGGAGGGCGTGCCGCAGGAGGGGCACAGGTCTTCAGTTACTGAAGTCACTATGACAAGGGCCCGTGCTCATTAGCCAGCATTTGGGATGGGGCGCAGAAAGCCAAAGTGCACACTGGAGGCTTGGGGTCTCCCGCACATTACCTGTCCCCAAGGTTACCAAGAGTGGGGTGGGGCACCTTCTGCATTTCCAGGAACAATGGCCTTGGGAGGTGCTGAGGGCGTGGGTCATGCCCATAATAACCCAGTGGAGCCTAGCCAGAGCTTGCGCACCTGTGCAGAGGGGTCTCTGTGTTCACTTTCAGGGACCAGAACTCCACAGCAAAAAGGGTCCTGTAGCCCAACAGGCCTATTTTGGTTCAGCCTTTACCCCCTTCTTCCTTGACTTTTTCATTTTTTTTGCAGAACCGGGGATTGAACTCAGGACCTTGTGCTTGTCAGGCAAGCCCTTATGCAACTGAGCTATTTCCCTGGCCCTCCTTCTTGACTTCTTAGCCTGTTAGTTGTGTTCTCTGAAGCGTTCATCTTATTTATTTGCACTCTGAACATTGCTGGATTAAGAGTTTTCAGGATTATTTAGTAATTTCAATTTTTGCCAAGCTCCAAATGATTTTTTTTTTTTTTTTTTTTTTTTTTTTTGTATAGGGGATCGACCTCAGGACCTTGCACTTGCCAGGCAGACATTTATGCCACTGAGCTATCTATCCAGCCCAAATAATTTTATTTATTTATCTATCTATCTATCTATCTATCTATCTATCTATCTATCTTTTTGAGAGAGTCTTGCTGTGCAGTTCAGGCTGGCTTTGAGCTCACTTTGTAGCCCAGGCTTGTTCTGAACTCACGACAATCTTCCGGCCTCAGTCTCCTGAGTGCTGGGATTAAAGACATGCCTACCACACCCGCTACTCCATTGGATTGTTTAAAGGGTTTCAATCCTAAAACACTACCAACTTCTACATATCCACCCTTGAGTTCTTTGATGCCGAAAGAAACACTTTAGATTTTTACAGTGGGACTGTTTTCAAAGTTAAATCTGCTGGTAACCAAATCGCCCAACTTGCTCAGAGTGGCTACTGTGCCTCAGCCTCCTGAGAAACAAGAATGCCAGGTGTGTGTCACCAATACTGGGAACTATTCTTTTTCTCACCCACCCTAGTTTATTTCTTACTGATGGGTTCAGTTGCATTCCTGCTTGTCTAATTCCCTGCAGTGGTCCTCCTGTATCTTCCTGCCTACATTAACATAATAGGATAAAACACAATCATTAACCATATAACATGAAGGAGGACAATTAAAGGTGAGCTTTGAGGTCAAACAACTCAGTTCAAATCCATGTGCTACTAGTTGTGTGATGTTACATGAATTTTCCTTCCAACTTTCTTGAACTTCAACTCTCTATTTATGAAATGGGGGAGAAAATATCCCCAACATCTACGGGTCCTTGGTAGGGCTAAAAGGCACAATATATATGAAGCGCCAGGTACAAGGTGAGTAGTCAGTGTTTTCAGGCATTCGACACGAGACCATTTCTCAGCTAGTAATATTCTACTAAGGAAGGGCAGCACTGCTTACGCTTTGCTTCTCATGACAGAATGTTCTTTCCAAACGTGCAATACACTGATGAGGCTATCTAGAGTTCTCTACAGCTAGTATATTTGGACTACTTCCCAGCAAGACTCAGTTGAGTAATTTATCACGGTCTTGGGGCCAGCAGAGTCTGCCAGGGCTTGAGAAATACCCTGCCCCTCCTTGGGAACTCTGAATCCTCGGGCCGAGAGTGGCTTCCTGCCTGCGTCTTAACTTCAGTAATGAACGCCCTTCCACTTCTGGGTGGCGATGGCTCTGCACAGACTCTTCTGTCTGCCAGCACAGTTCTGGACCTGCTGCCTCTTGGACCTTGCTTGAGGCTCATACAAGATACACGAAATGCCTGCTTTTTGCCGTAGTCCTTAATGGCTTCTGAAATATATTTGCTCAACTGGTGGAGCTTAGAGGTCTTTCTCCTAGGAAAGTAGTAACACTGCTTTTTAACATTCAACAATTCTCTTTGCAGTTTTAATCCTGAAGATTTAGAATTTTACATTCAATTGGAAACATGTTGAATTTTTAATTAACATCTTACCTATTAACAAAAGAGCCCCTTTTATTCTTCCTGCTAAGGGTCCCCCCATGGATACACCACTTGCTGTTAGGACGAGGATATCTATCTGAACTTCAAAGTCTGAACTCACCCCCATGTGGCCTTCCAAATTCCACTGACTGTTTCTTCTTTATCATAATCTAACTCCAGTGTCACCTTCACGGCCCGCAATGACACTACAAACAGAGAGCCCACATTCCCTTGATAGCACAGCTGGAAAAATTTAGTTATTTCTTTTGAAGTCATATTTGGGAGTAACAACAACAGAGGTGAAGTGAGAGTAGGAAGAACGCAGTCAATAACTAATGGATTATAAACAGCTGGGGTAAAATGAGGCAGAGTTTAACCCTTATTTTGTCAGTTTGTTTATTTATTTATTTTTGTGGTACCAGGGATTGAACTCAGAACCCTGCTCTTGCCAGGCAAATGCTTATTCTACTGAGCTATCTCCCCAGCCCCCCTTATTTTGATAACCGGAAAAAAAAGGACTTTTTACTCAGAACTTTCTGGTCAGATGAGTGGTCCTCATGCAATCCCTTACAAAGGTGTCCATTTTCCTCTATTTTCCCAGCACACCTTCCCATATTTGCTTTTGGTTTCAATTAACTTTTTATTTCTTAAAAAAGGGGGATGGGATGGAAACCCTGGCCTATACCTGTAATTCCAGCGACTCAGAAGGCTGAGACAGGAGGATCACAAGTTCATGGCCAGCCTGGGCAACTTAGTGAGAATTTGTCTCAAAATAGAAAAGGACTGCAGGTGCAGCTCTGTGGCCGGGTGCCTGCCCAGCATGCATGAAACCCTGGGCTCAATTCAATACAAAAGAAAAAACAGAAACCCAAACAAACAAACAAAAAACACAAAGAGCTCACTATAAGACTAGTGGTTTATTGAGAGAGAGAGAGAGAGAGAGAGAGAGAGAGAGAGAGAGAGAGAGAGAGAGAAACACACTCAATCACTCGTCAGTAGACAGATGCTGGAAAAAGCACATTTTTTGTTGCTTTTCTCAGGAAATCTTCTAAAAGCCCCCTAATTACCTTTCAGTTGGTTCTCCCCCCAAGCTTTGAACTCATCTATCTGCGATACCCGTCACAAAAAGCTTAACTGAAGGATATCTTTGGATGTTCCTGTCCCCCTTCAAATACTGACCAGTCAAAGCACTTACCAGGGCTCTGTCTACGAGTAAGCAGAGAAATGACATGTTCCATTGCCTTCCAATGATAGGCCTGTGCACGTGGCCCCTTGGGGACCCCGGGAAAGCTCTCTGTGCCTCTGCCCCACCCCCAGCAGGAGCAGGGATGCAACAACTATACTACGTTCCTCTAATTTGCATTCATTCAAAGAAATGCTCTAAGGGGGTGAGGGTAACTAGAGGCAGCAGCAGCAGACGGGCTCTCTCTGGGGACCACCTACGGGGTAACTGCAAGGCAGGCGGCCAGCACCTGCCACCAAGTACTGCTGGGCTAGACAGTACCCGCCCTGAGTGTCTGCGGACATTCACCAGGCAAGGCAGTGACAGAGGTAGGAGTAGTTTAAACACTATACACACCAGACATGAGGAAAGGATGGACCCAAGAGCCCTGGGGAAAAGGATTCGTACTGGGCAAGGAAAGAGGAGGGGTCTGGACACACACCCCTTCTCCGGAGGCTCTGTCACAAACTGCTGGCAGACCTCAGTGTACCCCAAAGGCCTGGTGGCCTGCGGCCTGCCCTGGAAGCATCTTACTGCCTCTACATCTGGCTGCCTGCTGAACTGTGGAATAACACCCGGAAGGGTAAAACCCCCAAGGGAACATTCATTCCTTGTTCTAGACCCAGGTCTCTAGTAGCTCCCTAAAAACACATATATATATATATATATACACACACACACACACACACATATGGTATCTCTGGTATGTTACTTTACAAGCGCATACATTAGATAATGTGAATGTTAGTTTCAGATGCAAGAAAAGATCTCATGTCTAGTTTATAGGTGAGTTAATTTATAATTCAGCCTTCAGGGTACAACCAATAAACTCCTTTTTAGAGCCAAGGCAGGTGACCCACTCCAGATTATTGAAAGCTTGGTTTGGGGAATACCATATGCTTTGCCTGCAGTGAATTAGGGGTGCTTAGCACTGAGCTTTACCTAGAGATAAAAATCACCGCAGCTCACAGAAATCTCTTTCAAAGACATAGAACCAGAATGCATTTTTCTTAGCTAACTAATTTTATCTCTTTTCTTTTACCTGAGGCTCACAGGATAAAAAGAACATAAACAATGAACATAAGTAATGAACTAACTTTCCTCTGATAAACTTAATTTTCAGTTCCAGCTGAGTCAGGCCTCGCTTCTGGGCATAGAGCACTGACTGTCCCTGCAAGGCGGTGTGGGAAATCACCTGGGACCTGTGGATGAGCGACTTTATGTGGTGACAACGGGCTGCTGCGCAGGCCGAAAGACTTGAAAGGCCAAAACCTGTGATGTGAAGCTTGTGTGGCCCAGAGTCCGGCGTGCCATCTCGCATTCCTTGCCGCCAGCAGGAAGGGGAGACCTCCACACACAGTCCCTTGTCCTTTCCCGAGCTGTTTACAGCTTTCTGTGGTAGAGCTAAAGTTGACTTCACTGATATTTATGGCTAGATAATGGGAATCAGATGGCTCCTTTGAACAGGACAGGAAGAGAGGTTATTCAAAACAGATTTCTCCTCCAAACTTGTTAAGGGACTGGAGCAAAAGAAAACAATTTCACACTTGATGATGGTATTTTTCTTCAAGTCATGAAAACATTATCACTTGGCTGTAGCCTTAGGGAAGCAACATAAAACACTAACTGAACTAAGAGTGCCCTACTGGAAAAAAGTATCAAGAAAGCAACTTCCTGCCAGGTACAGGCACTAGGCTTGAGCAGCTTGCACCTGCAGGAGGGAGGCTCTTGACCTGTTCCTCGGGGTTCATGCCACATACTGTGCTACACCTCTGCCAATGGAACTGGGCTTTAAAATAAGCTCGACAGAGCTCCTACACAAGTCCAAGCTGGGGTGCATCCAAGCACTGTGGTCCAAAACCAGGCCCTGGCGCCCAGAGTCTGGGAATCCCAGTCTGTGCATCTGGCTAGGTAGGGCCTGTGGAGCACTGGGGATGCGACCCCAACTGTCTGGCTTCATTGTATAGGTGGAGAAACAAGGGGCTGACGCCTACACGGCTTCTTCGCATTCTAGGATTCTATACTTCTGTCTTTCAAATCACTTGAAGAAAGAGCGTGATGTTTTAATGAAAACAGATGCTTTAATGAAAACAGAACATGAAGTTTTCTCATCCTCACTGCGCTGCTGACAGGCACAGAGGCAGGCGCAGGGGTGGAGGCCGAGCACAGCGCGATGCGCGGCCTTGAGCCATCAGCAGGGATGCCCGACCTGACTGGCCTCGTCTGGGCCAGTGTGGGAGTACGGAAAGGCGCCTGCCTGCCGAGTGACAGGTTAAGGCTTTCACCGGTTTCTCAGTTCTCTGGAGAAGGTGAAACCAGGCAAGGACTCCTCTAACCTTCTGCTCGGCTGTGTCTGTGGCGAGCCACAGAGGGGTCAGCCCATCCCTGGGCTTCTGGAGGAGTCCTACCAGCCATGCTGTTTTTCCCTATGTCCATCCAGGGCCCCTGACAAGGGCCTCAGCGGCACTTAGGCTCTCCTCTTCTGGTGACCCCAATTTCCCTCTTGCTTTCCCCTTCTTTGGAGTGGGCAGAACAGCACTGTGACTTCACAGCAACCTAGGTACCAATCCCAGCTCTTCTGCTTCCCTGGGGAAGCTACCTTGCGATGGGGGACCTCCCTCTCAGTCTGTCTATATGCAAAATGGGCATAAGACAGCAACTTATAGGCATTCTCAGGGAGCAAATGAGAAGGCTAGTGGGTCCCCTGCTTCCCCACAGGGGTGCCCACTCTAAGTGTCCTCCACCCCACCCTTCACTGCTCCTCTTTGGAGACAAACCACCCCTTGTCCTGGCACTGCTTTCCCCAGCTCCAACTCTCTGCGTCTTCATGGGCCTCACCCCTTTGTCCCTCGCGTGCACACTTCTAATCTCCAGCATGCAGAATTCCACTGAAGATGGTTTCTCTCTGGATGTCTCCTGGGGACCTACCCCTCACCTGATATTCTAGGAACCTGTCGTGTACCTGTTTGCATGATCTAGGAAGTCCATGTCCTGTGAGATTTCTGTCCTTTCTGGACATCACTTTTTCATTCTTGCTTTACTACAAAGCTAGATGCATAGTAAACTCAGCCCTGCACCACACCTGGTGCACACATGTGGACACACAGGACCAAGTGGCAGAGTACTGTGCGCTGGCTCCAGTCAGGACAGTGCTTTAGGGCTGAGGATGTGGCTCAGTTATAGAGGTTCTGCCTTACATGCACAAGGTCCTGGGTTTGATCCTCAGCACCACACACACACACACACACACACACACACACACACACACACAGAGTAAGGGCAGACAATGCTTTAGCCCCTGCTCTGGAGAAACACTACCCAAGTCAGAGCATGAGGCACACTCACTGGGTGAGGGAAGCATCTATCTGCCTTTGGCGGGAGCCGCGTAAGTTGAGTGAGAAAAGCAGCTGGAAAGGGAGTGGGGACGGGAGTGGGGATGGGCGTGGGTGTGAGCAGGGGCACCACGCATGAACAGCGGAAGCCTAGGCCGGGACAGCGACTCCATGTCTCAGCCCCAACACAGTGCCAACCTGAAGAGATGGAGACCGTCCTGTGCGGCGAATCAGACTTTTGGGATAAAAGAAATCAGATGGAGAACGATGAATGTTTGGTGGCTGCCACAAAAGATGAAAAGAGGGAAGAATAAACAAGATCCTCATTCAGATACTATAAAAAAAAAAAACCCAAAAAGACAAAAAACCAACCCATGGGAAAACTAATATGACAGTAAACAGCAAGTGACATCACTTCAAAGGGCATGTGCCAGGTTTAGGGGTCAGTTCCTCTCTGGAGAGCACACAAAGTGCATAGGAAAGGGTCTTCAAATGCTAGCAAATCTAGCCATATCTGCTCCCCTCAGAATCCTCTTCATGTATTTTGGCTGAGATGTTTTTATAGTATATGAAGAGTGAGAAGGCAAGAAAGCCAACTGAAACCATTCCTAAGAATCTGCTGCTACAAACGCCCCATGAGTTCTTAAATACCAAGAATGTGGATTACTCAGTGGGGTTGCTCAAAGATTCTTCAAACATTTTCATTTTGCTATGGAAACTGCTCTACTGTGACATTCGTTGAAAGGCTTGGAAAGCTTGGCTTAAGGGTTGTGTTTGTAGACACACCCTCAAGGGAGCACAAGACTCACTCCTCTGTTCAAAATTGACTCCCCTCCAAATCTCACCAGCATCAGCCTAGCCCCCAACTCTGCGCACATGGGCTGCCTGCCCTCCTGAGGTGCATCCTCCTCGACTACTGGATTTCTCAGACAGTGAGCCGGAAGGCTGATGGCCTCCCACGTAGGAAGTGTTGAGATTAGGGCAAGAGCTCTAGAATGCTTACTAAGGAACAAAACAAGAGCACCTCCTCCCCAGAATGAGTGCAACACTTCACAAGCTGTTTCCATAAGCTTCTCCAGAGAGTTCCATCAAGATGTGATCAAGTATGGTTTTTTTTCTTACTTTAAATCATTTTAGGAACCTGTTAGGGTTCACAAACTCAAGCTATCCTTTCAGAAAACAAAAAACAAAACAAAAAAAACCACCCCAAAACAACAACAACAAAACCCATCCCCTCCAGTCTGGCCGCATTAGCATTCTTTTCTTGTTAATTAGCACTAGCATTCATTTCTTTCTTTCTTGAAGGCAAAATACTTCATCAGGAATAAAGTGAAAATGATCACATGAAAAACTGAATGCAACACTGTAGAAAGGGTGTGAACCACTGGCTACTTGGGCAGTTTCTGGGCAGCCACCTCAGGCTGTGTTATAAATTGTACACACTTAGGGCAAAAGTGACAATAAGTAGTATCTTTAATGTTCTCATATTCTATAAAGATAACCTTGTTTCCCAAGCATTTATGGTTCCTCCAGATTCCCAGAGGCCAGTCTGCCCAGCTGATGAACTCCAGGAGCAACTACGGCTATGCTCAAATTGAAGCTGTCTGTCTAAAACAGAGCACAGCCATCTCCATACTGGTGGACATCTTTTTCTTCTGCTATTCTCAGGAAAAGTGCTTCTCCCTCTACTTAAATTTTGCTTAAAATAATAGTGATTGCAAAAGGAACTTCTTTTGCTTAGGTTCCCAGGCAAGGGACAAATCTCTTAAGATGTACAAATGGCAAAATGTCTCTATCTGATTTATAGATGCCAGTTGAGAAGAAAAAAAGCAAAACAAACCAGAGGGGGTAAAACTTCACGCTGCATAAATGTGTCTCAAGGAAGAGAACAAAATACACTAGAAAAGAAGAGCAGCAACCCCAAGGTGATAGTGGTAGGGATCTTAAAAATCTGATAATCACTTCTTGGAATTCAGGTCATCCCTTCCCAAGTCATGTATCAGTGAGCAGGACCATGGATAAATCAGCTGTGTTCTGCTGGAAATGGTCTAGGCCATATAGGAAGGCTTTCGATTGGCATACGAAGGAGCAATCACTCCACACACCAGGGCCTGGCCTCCAAAATCAACTCAGACTCTGCTGTCCCTTGAGGCACGAGGTGAAGGGATGGCCGGCTCCAGTTTTTCCACACATGCTGCTAAATCCTTTAAAAGGGGAAACTGGGATTGGGGCCGATTATCCTTGGAGAAATACCTCATCGCTCAGTAGAAAACCTAGGATCATCCTAACAGGGTCCAGTCATGATCATAAATACCTATCTCTGTACAGCCCTTGGCTTCTAAAATGGATGAAATATGGACAACTGGAAGTATTCTGAGCTTTGAGCAATTTACACGTCTCGGCTTGTGCTTGTTGTCCTCTAAGGCTTTAGCTGTAAACCATCACATTTCCGAGTCAGAGGCTATTCTGGTGAATTTGGATTTGGGAGCTAGGTGGAATGGAGCAGTGGCTGAGCGATGGATCAGAGTCCGAGCGGAAGTGGTGCTCCACAGACCAGGTGCAGAAATGGCTGCAAGAAGGTCACCAGGTGCGGAACACGGAACTTGATGGACCACCTTCTCCCTATCTCGGCCAACTTTTCCCTTAAACGCTTTTAAAGAAGTAGGCAGGCAAGGTGAGACTGCTCATTACAGCAGTTAGGAAAAACAAACAAACAAACAAACAAACCTCGCAATAAATGTAGAGTTGGTAGGAGGAAAACACTGGTAAAAAGTAATTTTACTCAAACTCTAGTCCCAAGAATGAAGTGGCTGTGAAGCGTGTGGGCTCCAGGTGCACCCGGCACCTTGGTTCAGTCTCCTTACCCGCAGCTTTTCCTCTGTCTTAATAGACTGCTTACAGTCGGGATGCCAGACGGTGGAACCTGCGGAGACACAGCGCAAGGCATGAAGGAAGTGGGAAGACGCCATCGGCCCATTCCACACAACTTCTGAGCGTGGCTCACATCCCTCTTTCCATTGCAGGAAAGCTGAGACTGCCCCACATCCAAGGAATTCGTGCCAGTAAAATCAAACAACCCCGGACTTGAGGTGAATTTCTTTTTCTAACCTGACTTATTCTGTAAAGGTTATCACTCTGGATCAGAGAGAGCACTAACTGGGCACAAGATTGCTTCAGTGCAAGGGATATTTAGCTCGTGATTGTTTTCAAAAGCCATATTATTACCTTTCAAAAGCAAAGTCCGAGCGCTTAGTATAGCCTGCATTTAATTTCAGAATAAGCCATATTTATAGAACATTAAGCAACAAAGCGAGTGAGTTGAGACAAATAAAATCAAACTAGACAGTCCATATCCAGAAGCAAAATTTACTATGTTTTTAACTGATACAATTCTATAGTCATCTACACGACCATGGGTAACTACATTAAATGTAAGGTTAAAGTTACATTATAAGTCCTTCAACCTTTTAAGTAGCTAAAACTAATCTTTGCTTTTAAACTAATGGAGTGACTATTTAGATGTTATTTCCTGTTTCGGGATCAGCAGTCTCCCTTTAGAGGACTAGGAAGCATTTTCACGAGTGGTATCACAGTCACAGAATTAAGCAAAAACACTTATTTCCAAAAGACAGCTTTGATCAAGAATCTGGTGCCTGCTCATATGATTTTATGCGACCAGATATGTAACACATGCCATTTATATGACTATTAGGCTGAAAACTGAATTCTCTATGCACAAGGGGGTTTGTTCAGAGGAAGGGTGGGGCAGGAGGGATGGGGGAGACTGCAGACTCAAGCCAATAACGTTGCCAAGAGGAAAGCTGCGAGTGAATGTTAGAAGCAAGACTTACTATAAGCATCTGCCTTTCTTGATTGCAGTCTTTATCTCTTCAAACAACAACCTGTTTGAAGAGTACAACCTGTTTCCAAGTACACCTAAGTCATCAATTTAAAATAACCCACGAGGGGCCAGGGAGATAGCTCAGTGGAAGAAGTGCTTGCCTGGCAAGGGCAATGTCCTGAGTTTGATCCCTTGTACTACCAAAAAATAAAATAAAATAACCCATGAATTGCTTCCTACTACTGAGCTACACTCACATTACATTAGTGGCAAGAAAATATATTTGATATCAGAATAATTTAATTTCTGTTTAACAATTACTTCTATCTTGTTTGTTTCATCCAGGATGGGGAAAGAAAAGGAGGGAGGGTAGGAGGGAGGGAGGGGGGGAGAGAGAGAGACAGACAGACAGACAGACAGAAACAGAAACAGGAAGAATATCGAACAAACAAAACTCAGACAGACATACGAGTCCCTGTAGCACTAAGAGTGGCTCAGAAGCTGACTACAAAGCACAGGAAGTCTTTTAATGTGAAGAGGCGAAGGGTCAGGCCCGGGTCAGGAGAGTAGTGTGTTTGCATGGAGGTTCTACCGAGCAGGAGACACTGTCCAGAACACCAGGGCTGCTGCACACTATGTCAACACTGTTCTCTGAAGGTCACACACTCAAGGGACGGGACGCAGAGATCAGGTACCTCGGACAGCAAACTACAAATTCCTCAAAGATGGGCTCAGAGGAAATGCAAATATTGTGAAGCACAACTCTAAAGGAGCCTTAGAGATGGCGTAGAGGCACGCAACTGTAAACCCAGCAGCTGGGAGGCTGCAAACAGGAGGATCACTACGAGCCTGATCTGTGTAGTGAGACCCTGTCATTCCTGTACTAAATACATTTAAAAAAAAAAAAAAAAAGAAAGAAAAGAAAAGAAATAAAGGAATCTTAGAACTATCATGGGAATTCTGCTCTCTGTCTATCCCAGAAGTGTGCTGGATTTATGCACAGTTTGAGACCGACCGCCCTCTCCGTTCAGCTTCTAGAACCACGGGAACATGCAGAGCGGATTCCAGGCCTGAGTCTCACCTCCTAGCAGATACAGACTGACAGTCATGCCACTGTGTGTTCTGTGAGTGCTATAATTAACGCACTGAAATCTTAACAGCGGGCTTGGAGACCATACGGAGACTCAATCTGCTTGTGTAGTGGTACGTAAAGTGACATTTGCTTCTTGCCACTGCAGATGTATAGTCTGTTCTTGGGAAATATGTCGACGAAGCCCTCACGAGACCACAGCGGCAGAGCTTGTAACGTTCACAGCACGCTTTGCCATTCAGCGGTGTTTTTCATCATATTTTTCCAGAGTGATCCTGCTAATGCTAAAAAAACCCCACTGTGTTGCCAATTTATCATCTATCTAGTATTTTTTAAGACAGAGTAGCCAACATGGTGATCTAACACTTGTGAGTCATTCTTCTAGACTTTTCTTAGTTATACAAAAACAAAACCGAGAGAGCAAAGCAAACCATTCGTTAGAAACACAATGTTATGTGTAACAAGGACGAGGCGTGTAGAGGCAGCCAAGAACCATTAATCACTCACACTGAACCAGCAACTGCTCTTAACAGTTCTTGCTAATTTTACTGATGAATCCTGGTCTAATTAGTGAGTCTTTTCCCAGCTTAAAATAGTAAAATGCTTTGCTCAGATGGTACCATGTGACTGGAAGAGAATTCACTCCTAAAGCTTCTCCAAGCAGCTCAGAATTTTGGAGGAGACAAAAATATATAATAGTTTTACTCTGGGAATATTTCTGAAAATTATTTTCAATTAACACAGTCTAAGGGCTCCCTGGGAATGAGTACTTCCATGCTACCAGAAATTTCTTAATTTCTCTTTTGGGGACTGTGGGTAGGTTGTCCCTCATCCAATTTCTATCGAACTATGTTATCTTAGTGGGTTAAAATGTATCCGTAATGTAATTCCTCAAATGAAATTTTCTTCTTTTCAAAGGCCCAGAGAAAGGTAGGTGGGGGGACTTCAAATAATCTTTCTCACAAAACAGTAAAAGGACATAAGGAAATGCGGCCATCAAATAATTAGCACTTCTAGGAATTTCTAGGAATGTGTTCTTGTTCTTTGTTTCTCAAATATATTCTCGGGGAAAGATGGAGAGGAGGGACTGCTGATTTTCATTTTTCCTTCCTGCTCACAGCACAGTGTTCCAGTCTTATTCATCCTTTCCAAGCAACAGGAGCCCGGAGCTCTTTCTTCAACAGCCTCAGGCCCTCCCCACCAGCAGGTCAACTGCTTGGCTGATCTACACTAACGCATGATGAGGTAATGTTTGGCCATACTGATGTTGGATTTGGGTCGTCTCTCAGCTAATAAAGTGCCTCCTTCTCTAAAAACAATCCAACAAACACAGCAAGGCTTTCTTTCCCCAAGCACAGAAAATATGCTTTGCTCTCCAGTCCTGCTTACCTTGGAGATACATTTCCTCGCCTTCTGTGAACATCTGGTTGCATCTGCTGCATCGTGCACAGCTGGGGTGATAATGCTTGTCACCTGCCTGCAAGAGAAAAGGCAGGGACGTTGAGCCTACCCATTCAGTCGTGGCTGAAAAGCTGTCCTTGAGTTTCGAAGAAGAGAAATTGCGGAGGAAGGAAAATAATGATCCAATATTCAAACTTCCCAGACCAGGAACCATGGGAAAGAGAAATGAAAATCAGAGCTCCCTCCTCTCCATCTTTTCCCGGGAATATATTTGAAGTTAAAGTCAGCCTGGCGAACTGAAAAGGCTCAAAGACCAGCTACTCACACCCACCATAATGGGGGCGTTTGCTTCTCAGCGTGTCTGACTTCCACTTTTCTCTTACCCTCTGCTTTGTGGGATGGTTTGCAGTTAAACACCACACACCTGAGAGTTTACTTTGTGTCCCAATAACCACCTCAAAACATGAGCGCACACATTTCTGCTGGAGCTTAATGTTGGTTTAGCAGGCTCTTACTTGATGATCAGAAAATAATAAAACCTAGCCAACTTGCATCAAGGTAAGAAAAACCATAGTAAAAGACATAATCTGCCGTTCTCGCTTCAGAAGGAGGCTAAATTCTCTTTCATGTGGCTTGCATCAATCTTTTGCCAATGCCTTACATTCTTCCAAAGAAGGCATTTTGCTGAAGTGGCATCTCACATCCCTAAGTAGGACAGATGCCACCGCAGCAGGTGCTGACTTTCCTGGGGCAAAGCGTCTCCGGACACGGGGACAATTCTCTAGACACGTGCCAAATTGCATTAGAGTCATGCCACAAAGGAAGCCTGACAGAAAATCCTTTCATTCACAGTTGGGGGGAAAAATCTTCACCTAAAGAGTACCAAATATATTCTATGATGAAAGCCTTTGTGTTCGTCAGTGTGAAAACATCTCTTCTGCACTAACCATGCTCCAGAGCAGTGCTGGGAAAGTCTGAAGTAGCTGCACCCTGCTTCTGAGCCTGTGAAACCGCGACAGGAAGCTGGAGTCAGGTCAACTCCACCCTCACACCTCCTGTGGGAACTGTAAAAGCCCCTTAAGAACTAAAGCATGTAGACTGGGCGTGGTGGCGCGCGCCTGCAATCCAGCTCTTGGGAGGCTGTAGACAGGTGGATCACTATGAGTCTGACCTAGTAGTGAGACCCTGAATACCCTTTCCTAAAAAAACAAAAAAGAACTAAAGCATGAGATGGGGTCAGCCTCTTGAGATGACCAAGAGGGAAAAAAATATTCAGTTACCTAAATTAAAAATCTAGGAAAGACACCTCTCTTGTGGTGTGTGCCCCAAAATTATAGAAATGGTGTCCTTATTCTCATCCAATTGATGTTTCTTTATTATATATATATTTTTTTGTGGGGGTTAGAGGACTGGGGTACAGGTGTGAGTGCAAGGAGAAGCAGAAGGTGGTCCTGCCCTCCAGGGATCTGTGGGGTCAAAGGTGGGGGAAGGGAAGAAAGGAAGTCCACTCAGTTTGAAGCCAGGTTGCTCAGCTAGGATGTGCTAGTTGGACAATCTCCAGGATCCCAGGGAAGGTGTAAGAATAAAGTCTCTAGAATGTGGTGTTGTCTGTGGTGCGAAACATAATTTAACTTATTAAAGGTAAAAACCAGAAATCTTTCATGCTAATAAAGCACATTTATCATCTTCGGTGGTAAAACATCACAAGGATTCTAATCAAAGAGGAGTGAGACAAAGATGTGTCCTTTCACCAATATCATCCTACATTGTTTGGGTACTTACCCATGTGATAAGAAAACTAAGGGTAATAATCGTTAATAAGTCTGAGCAAGTGGCTAGGTAAAAATTAACACAAACTATTATTTCCTACTCATTAGCAATAAAAGATAAAAGCAGGTAAGGAGGTCCCCATCTGTCATGACAACAAATAAATCCACTAATACAAGACCTACATAAAGGGCTGGAGAGATAGCTCAGCAGCCTAAGGGCCTGCCTAGCAAGCACAAGGTCCAAGTTGGGTCCCTGGTACTCTCCTCCCCGCCCCCCAAAAAAAGACCTATATAAAGAAAAATATACAACTTAACTGGTGGATGTAAGAGATCTAAATAATTCTATTTCTCAATAGAAACACACAATAATAGTTCTGGGTATAAAAATTGAAAAATGTAAAGATAGCTCGGCAGTCTAAGCATCTGCCCGGCAAATGCAAGGACCCTGGCTTGATCCCCAGTACCTCATGCCATACAGGCCCCGTGCTGTGCAGGCCAATGGCACTAGGCATAGTGGTGCATGCCTGTAATCCCAGCACTAGGGAGGCTGAGATGGCCACCACTATGAGTCTGAGACGCATTGCAAGACTCTGTACCAAATAAGTAAATAAATCTTTAAAAAAAATTAAAATGAACCTACTCCAGTGGCGCCTTCACAATTACAGTACCCAGAGGAGTTTGCTTTATAGACCTGGATAGATTATATCTATGGAAGGAAAGAAATATACTCCCTCTCCCCACAAAAAAGATGAGCAATGAGAGGGTATTGTGCTTTCTTGATTTAAAAATTTACTCTAAGGCTACAATAATTAAAACATTTGAGGGGCCGGGGAGATGGCTCAGTGGAATAAGCGCTTCCCTGGCAAGCGCAGGGGCCTGAGTTCAATCCCCAGTTCTGAAAAAAAAAAAAAAAAAAAAGAAAGAAACTTTTGGGCTGGTGAGATGGTTCAGTGGTCTAAAGCACCTACTTAGAACAAGCTTAGCAAAGCACAGGGACCGTGGTTCAATCCCCCAGCACCACATGCCAGCCCACCCCCGCCCCCTGGTGGGCTGAGCTGGCCACACACACACACACACACACACATACACACAAATAAATAAAATTTAAAAAACAAAACACTTGAATACCATATAGGAACAGAAGATAAATCAGCAGAGAAGAAGAGGGGAAATTGCAATTACCAGAGAGTTTAACTTATCTAAAGGTAGCAGTTCAAATGAGCTTAAAGAACACATTACTCAATAAATGGTGAGGATATGGGGATATGGTATAGGGTTAGGGTACAGCACTTGCCTAAGTATGAGCCCTGCCTGGGTTTGATCTCCAGCACTTGAAGAAAGAAAAAGAAAAAATAAATAAAAAAGAAAAAAAAAAAAGGATAATTTGCTCTCATTAGCAGAAGATAAACTTAGATTCTAAACATGTAACCTATATAAATTCCAGAAAGCTGAAACTAGAAACAAAGTTAAAGCAGAAAACATCGTATCACCCGTGATATATGTGCCCCATGTTTACAGCAATTCATCATGGCTGAATCTCAGAAACAACCCAAATGCCTGTCAACTGTTGTATGGATGAAAAAGATGTGGTATTTTTTTTTTATACAATGGAGTATTACTCAGCTACCACATATTACTCAGCTATAAACTCGAGGCTTTTAGATGCAACTAGAGATCAGACTCGTAAGTGAAATAAATCAGACCCACATGTGTAAACATGGAATCGTCTCCCTAGTGCAAGAAACTGAAAGAATAAACAAAATCTGAAACACGATAGCTAAGATAGTTGTACTACTAATTTCTATTTGTTTATTGAAAGGAACAGTTAATGCTTAACTTTTTTACAAATTTTGCATGTTTATATCATAATTTGAACAACAATTTTAAAGATAACAATATGTAATATAATGACCATTGTTGATTTCCTAATATCTTGCTTTGAAATTCTGTATCAGCTTTAATGTTACTTATTTTATTATCTTTAAAAAAATACAGAAGTATTAAAAGAATGCGCAGAACACTTGGCAAGAAAGCTTTCCTAAGTGGGGCAAAATCTAGAAACAATAAAGATAAATATCAGCCAATCTATGCCAAACACTGCACAATATTAAGAACTCTAGACATAAAATTAAAAAATAGAAAGATGTTGCCACACATTTTAAGTAAGCAAAAAAACCACTATTCAGAATATTTAAAGATTGCCTAAAATAAAAAAATAAATGGCAAGATGGGCAGAAGTTTATTTCCAGAGAAAATGGAGATAATAATAATAATAATAATAATAATAATAATAATTTGTAACCAGGGAAATACAAGTTAGAAAATCTTTTGTCCCACCATAAAATTAGCAATGATAAACAGAATAGAGGAACAGAATAAGCAGAATGTGGGGAAGCTGGCATTTCAGCTGGGGACCATAATCGTCCCGGAAGGCACCCTGGCAGTATCTATTGGAAGTCAGCGTGCATGCTGCCCTCTGGCTCACAGTGCACTTCCAGGGAGCGCCCCACACAGTCCCACGAATGTGCCCCAGAGCATGTGCCCGGAGGATGTCCAGTACTATTTCACTTATAACAGCAAAGAACGTGGAAATAGCAAACAATCCCCCAAGTGGCCATTAAAAATGAAGTAAACATGTATGTACTCGTAAGAAGAGTTCAAATTAATACTATCGAGAATTCAAACTATCATTACAAAGAAAAAAATCAAACCACAACACTGTGTCCTATATCCACACTGAGTAATGGAAACACTGACTTGACTGGATTTAAGTCCAGCTTCACATTTATCTTTAGCTTGCACATCAATGACACGGGTAGAATGATGACACTTAACTCGCAGGGTTCATGAGAAGATTATCAGGAATATTACTGTCCGCGCACCATGGTAAGCGATTTAATCTCTCCTCTGTTCCATATGGTGGCACTATCACAATTACTACTTTTATTTTTAAAAGAGAACAAAAGTGATAAAATTTTTTAAAAGTAGAAATGATGCAGTATTTCACTAAAGAAATCAATAGGAATTCAATGTTAGACTCACTATGGAAATTAATTAGTGAGGCGAGTCCTCAAAAAACTAGGATTAGAGGTCCCATTCAACCCAGCTATTCCCCTTCTGGGTATTTTTCCAGCAGAACCAAAAACATATCACAGTGATATATGTGCACCCATGTTTATAGCGGTGCAATTGGTTATAGCTAAATCTTGGTATCACTAACTATTATTTATATGTGAAGGGTCACATAATGTGTAATGATTATGTGTATGTACGTGTGTGTGTGCGCGCAAGCATGCATGCATGGGCA